TTGGTACTTCAGTGCCTCTGTGCAGTGAAGGTCCGCATCTAATGCTCTGATAATGCAATATGAGATGAAGAAAGTCAGTGCAAGCCCTTGGAAATACATGGTAATTTAATTGCTTAAGATACTTTCATCAAAGTTTGAAAGTAATTTTTATTTCAAACTTTAAAATTCATGTCATTTAATAACTTTAGAATTAAGGTGTCAGTAAATGGGAAATCATAATAATTTCATGTCAATTCTATTAATGAAATTTCATCAATTATATTTGCACAGAAATATAAGTACAACTGTATGGAAGAAGACATTACCTTTGAGCTGTTTCAATGGCTTGATCCCAGTCCTGCAGATTGAGCTGTAGTTTCATTTTCTCAATCAGAGCTGGCATGAAACCTGGATAGGTCACGATCAGCTGATTGATTAGTTCTAGCGCACCAGTAAAATTGTGTCGTGACTCCAGGTACTTTGCTTTTCCTAACAGAGCATTTATATCGCGAGAACCGTCCATTCTGTAAATACATGTAAGTTTTAAAAATGCCTCTGTATTTCATAAAATAAATAAAATGATAGGACACATAAACACTATAGCTTTTGCTTTGAAGTTAAAAACAGGTGACACATACCTCATCATACTCAAAGCTTACCATTAAAATTTGTACATTAACTCTCTAAATTCTTGTTATCTTTAACTGACTAATGTTTAAATCCCTTTGTTCATAAACTGAGAGAGATAACAAAAACAAGTAAACTTTATAAGGCATCATGTCTAATTTATCTGATAAACTTTCCTGTCTCCTTTAAAGATGAAAATTCTATGCATGACAAAACAATGGAGATGATATAAATGTATTTTCTGATTTTACTCACCCAATGGCATCGTCAAAATATTTAATTGCTTTTTTTGCCTCTCTGCCACTCAACAACTCAATCCATCCTTTGGCAACAAATCCCTACATTAAATCAAATTAAATAAATCACTAATACCATAATTTTTATATGTGCATGTATTTTCACGGACTGAATGAACTACTGATGCATAATCTGTAATTATAATGGAAACATCTTACATATCGGTACCTTCATAAACTTCAAAGAAACATTGCATGCATAACATAACAAAAAATACCAATTACTAAATTTTGAAACTGAACACGGAATATCAAAACAGAACAATTAGCTTACATAATACTTCAATAATGCTGTGAAGTCAGTCTTCTAGTCATTATAAAAACAATTTATCTATAAAATCCAATAACAACTGGACATTACAAACAAGGGCACTGCAAAACAAAGCATCTCCTCACAAAAGAGCACATCGATCCAGATATAAATTATTACTCACTCACCCACTCATACTATACCCTTCCCACCCCACCCCCCCAACTTTGTTGTGAGGGAATAATAACCAGTGATAAAAGTCGAAAAATAAGTACAAAACTGTAATTTGATAAGATTTCTTGACTTTTTTTTTAACATATCATTAATGCATATGTCTTTTCTTACCTCTTTAGTTGTGGCCATTTTTAGCATTCTGTCAATGTATTCTCTTGCTTTGTCTGGTTTACCATTCAAAAGCAGAAACAATCCTCCATAATACAAACCCTGTGGTGGTGATTAAAAAAGTAAAATACATGTATCAACAAATAGAGAAAAATAACAATTAATGAAAAAGTATCTACCTCCTTTCTCATACAAGTACCTTGACAAAATACATTAAAAATATAATATCAGTATTTCATTAATACAACAGAACAAATATTAAAATCTTGAATGAATTCTTGGTTTTGAATTCTGGGATTTGATTCCTCACCATTTCTCCACTTTGTTTTCTCTCCTCCTTTAGTTTTGCATCTAACTCTTGAACAGCTTCTCGATCTATGAAAGAGAAGGGAATCAATCAGAAGAAAATAAAAAGGCCAATGAAAAAAATAAACCCTTAAAATTTCAGTACTAAAGTGTAATCAAAACATAATGCATACTTCATGATGAATAGAAGAATAAATGTTGATCTTGTCTACATGGAATTGACGATGTAAATGGATGTTGAACAAATGGAATGGTCAGTCTAAACGATTACAATATGTAACAATTAATGCAGTCCAAAGAGGCAAACTTACCAACAGTTTGACTGTGCTTGTGTGCATAAATCAAAGCCATTGTAGAGCAAATATTAACATCTCTCTTGTCTTTCAATACATCAAGCTCTCGGATTCCTTCTTGAACACGACCTAGAATAGAGAGATAACTTTTTTTTTACAGACCCATAAATTTGATTTAGATGGTAACAGTAAATAAAGATTAATCCTGCTGTTTTTGTATTGTCTACATTACTTATGACATGTGTGATAATAGCAATCTCTGTAAACTAATGCATGGGAACAGAAGAGATTAAACCTGAATTTCTTTATATTGGTCAATTTTTTCAAGGCAAATTTTAAGATAACATTACCACAATCCCCTAACACTGATAATGGCTAACATAACATCAATACATTGATTCAGAGTTCTCCATGAATCCTATGAAATGTTACTGTGTTGCACACTTTACATGAACCACTAATATTCGCGGTATTTTCCGGATCAAATTCTCAACCGAACCACTATTCATTACAATTACATAAGCACCCCCCCCCCCCCCCACACACAATTTTTTTTAATCACCTATTCGTACATATGATCGTTCATATTAATAAAAAATAAATTAATGGAATGGTTATTTAAGACATTAGAATTTTTCCATATAATAATGTATATGTACATACAATATTACAGACAAACCGACTGTAAACCCCCCCCCCCCCCCCCCCCCCATCACACAACTGAAAAAAAATAAGTACGATATAAAAAGAAAACCCTGAAATAATATACATGTACTTGTATCACTGTCTACAAGTTTATGTGTTAATTAAACCTACATATTGTTGTGTATACAATGTATATTATTTAACTTCATATTTAACATATACTCTGAAGAGCAGAGGAAATTCTGCGCAATAAAATTGATCTACTTCCCTACTTTAAAAGTAAATTTGCCGTGATTTTTGTCAGTTGATTGAATTTAAAAAAGGAAACTTTAGAATAGAAAAATACTTTTAGGGGTGCCTTTAAATTCTTCAACAGTACATTTACATGAATGAAATGATTAAGGTACCGTAACGATATTTGACTCACAGTGCCAACATAATTCTAGAGACATGGTTGTGAAGTGTAAAGATATATATTTAAAATAAATTTTTAATTTTTAAATAATATTTTAAATGCAACTAGCAGTTATACAGTTACATGGAAGTGTAAAAACAAATTATTTGTCTTTGTTCCTTCATGCGTTAAGTTCAGCAAGGGTCTAGGAGATAACTGATTATGCAAGGTGAAGCAAGACAAAATGCCCTAATTAAGAAATAATTTAGTGCTCTGCCTTAAAAATTGAAAGTCGGTAGATTTGTTTCATTTAAGTTTCAGTTAGAGAGAATTTATGTTCTGATTTTCTTATTATAAAAGATCTTACCGTGTCGCAAAAGTTTTACTGTGTCGCACGCATAAAATTTGAGTCATTATTATGTTGGGGAAAATTTTACTGTGTCAGGACCGACACAGTAAAACAGCTCATGGAGAACCCTGATTGATTCCTTCTTGAGAATTCAATGAATAAAATGTGTGTCTTTTCTTTTCACAAAAGATGTATGTAAATCCAGGTTTCTCATTTAAGTAATTGCACTTATTGCATTTTCATTTTTGAATTACAGCTGACATGTGACAACTTAAGAGACAGAATCATAAAAATGCAATCATGAAATTAAAAATTCTAAGCTTACAGCTTGAGTTTGAAGACATAAGACCAATTTACACTGATATTAATGAATTCATTGTGTATTCTCTTTATTTAAATAAAATGTAATTGCAACTTTACAAAAAATATTTCAAAGAAAACAAAGACTTTTGAAGTTCAGTAATTGAAGTTGTGTGAAATCACCTTCTAGACTTCAAACCACACAGAAAATTAAATTCAATTACAAAAGTACTAGTGAGATTGCCTCAGTTGTTAAACTACCAAATACATAATATACAAACGGAGTGCAATATTTGACAGTAATTACATACCTTGTAAAATGATTGCATATGCCCTAAAGAATTTAAGGACTGGGTCATTACTATACTTCTGTAGTCCCTCCATGGCCGCATTTTCCATGTGACAGTAATAATTCTCCCTGCAGTAGTAGGAAATTTTTCCCTGGAAGAGTAATTTACAGAAAAGTTGCATGAAGAACACGATGTCTTAGGTGTAACTTAACAGTTAAGGAAAATGTACACCATGGAAAGAATCTAAAATAATGTTTTACTGTATACTTTTTTAAAAGCTTGAGTACTTATACATGTTAATATTTCTTCACGTTGACAAAAATAAAATAGCATGAAGAAAGTATCTGCAGAAATATTAAATTCTGAACAATAATGACAAAATTTTAATCTATACATAAAATAGTATCTATAAAGAAGAAAACCAAGCTGAGGAAATTCGAAATCAACATAAAAATAATATCCTTTCACAATGCAATAAAGTCGATTATAACTTTCAATGGACAAAACATGTATTTCATTTCTATTGAATGTACATACTATTATCGTGGGATCTGTGTCTACCATCCTGGCAGATTATATTAATGATTTCTAAGATCTATTTTGCCGCAAAACTGTTGGTGTTTGGGAATTTCTCTCTGCGCATGTCATGTAAAAGTTTATCTTCCGGTAGGTCAACTTCGTTGTAGAGAGAACTGAAAGGGATTCGTTTCAAGTACAGAGATAATGTACTGAGATTCATTTTAAAAATGTCCTAAATAAAACTTAAATTCACTTAAATTAAATTAAACAACACCTGTAAGCGGCATAGGCAGAAAAACTTTCATATTTTTGGTATTTCACAGAGAATAATGTAAATAGAAACTTACTCTCCCTTTCGATTATTTCATTGAACGCACCATGACAATTATTACAACAAATCCACGCTTCCAGAAAGTACGCGTGTTAATCCAAATTAATGACCATGTTGTAAATATTGACATACAAGAAGAATCAAAGTATGGCATTAAAAATTGATGTAAATAAAGGTCCCCTCACCTTGACACATGATCGTAAGTATCAGGATTTTAAAGTAGGAAAATAATAGAAAAAAGCTTTTAATTTACAAAATATATGATATGCAAATATATAGCTGTAGATAGACTACTTTGAACTTTAAAATTCCATAAAAATGAACCCTTTTTCTAGAAAGTGAAAGCAGCGTTTTATTTCTTTATCTCCCCTCCCCCTTTTTGAAAAAAAAATTTAGTTTTGACTAGGAATTAAAAATATTAATAAATCTAAAAATAAGCCTGAAATTAAAAATAATTCATTTTTCAAAGTAAATCGCATTACTGCCTGAATAACAATCTAGCACAAGTGCTTTCTTTCTTAAAATAAAAAAAATGACTGCGAAGAACTTGAGAAACGATTTTCCAATGCTAAGAGTAAAAGTGTTTAAACTTAAATTTATTTTGCTTCCAGGGTAGTAGAATACACAAAGTAGATTAGCCCCCTATTGTGTTGACATAATGATCAGTGATAAAATTATCTTCCTATCTCCCTGCCAAATCCCATGAACAAACTCTTACAAGACACAGAAGTATTTACTTGAGAATTATAATGACATAATTTCGTAGACGGTGCGATATTATATATAGGTTCGCTCTGCCCATTATTGAGAGACAGTATCTTGCGTTTACTTTCGCTTGATCATCAAATTGAACGATGTTTTAAGTTTTTAAAGACTTTATAAATATTAAAAGCAATAATTTTGCTCTCAGTTTGTGTAACCAAGCCCCTTTTACAAATAAAACTTAAATTTGTTTTAATGGAGAAGAGGTAAAGAATATGACAGTTTTATTGATGGTGGTAATGTTTTTATAAGTTTTCATGTCACAATGTTTAATGGAATAATTGACACAGCTTTCTTCAGATATACACAGTTGCTAATATTCAAATTGAGTATATTAGTCTCAGATTTAAAGTGTAAATGTTTTTATCTAATTGTCAGAGGAAATCTTCCAAATAAGAGAGAGAGAGAGAGTATCAAATGTTGTTGTAGATAACTCACATAAGATAACATATAATAATACAGTTTGTAATTCTGAAAAACTTTTAAAACCGCGATTTTCTTAGTCTTACTAACAATCCCACGATCATTGATCTGTGACAGCTTCATTCATTGATACGCAGACTGTCCTTTTGTGTTGGCAAATACAAGTTGCATAACCTACAGGAACAAATTCTCTGACACAACGGAATCCATTTAGCATTCCTTTTCTCTGAAGCAATGCCTATAATGTGATGCTAAGTTAATATCCTCAATTATGCATAGATCACGAAAAAATGATAAGATGACCTCTTTCTTCTAACCAATATTATATGTTTAATTTAATTTGTCATCCAATATCAAATTTAGAGGGCTGCTGTCAAAAAATCTATGTTAATAAATACATGGGTCGAAAAAGCCTATTTAATCAATACCCAGCCATGAAATAGTCATTGTCTCTACACGCTCAACTAGAATCAGATATCTGTCTATTGTTTTATAGGTTTTTAAAAAGACAGAAAAAAAGCCACTGCTGTGGTCTTATCTATTTACTTTCAATGTTAATTTTCAAAAAAAGACACAGTGAGTTACCTTGGAATGTGATTTAACAATAAATTCTACAAAGAGTTATTGTTAAACATGATCAATATTTTTGTCTTTGCCTTTAATTCTTTTCAATCCTAAATCGAAATATATTCATTTAAAAATTTCCTTTCTTGGGCCAGGTTTAAAATACTAGACCTATACTTAAATAGCATTTAATTTCAAATGTACATACGGCATATATTTATGAATAAGAAATTTCTATTGGGTAAAAATATGGTCCTGGTGAAAGATTAATAAGTTAAGATGTGAGTTAAACCACCTTTACAGTATCAATAGATTACTAAAACATTAACTTCCATTGACAACAGAATGGCAATGTATGTGATAGATTATTTAAATGGTTAGTTAGCAGTTTATATTCAGAAGTCAATATTTAAAGAAGGAATATAGTCATCGCTTTCGCACAGAGAAACAGAGGCTATTTCACGATTAGTTCAAACACTTCACAGACTTTCCCTGTTTTTACTAACATTGACCAATTCCGTACATTTCCCGTGGCATTTAACCAAACACCGTCTTTATATTTTCTTGTTGGCAAGCAATCGGTGTTTTGAAGCAACGCTAGATTGTGTGCGGTGAAAAGGGATTTGATACTTTTTTTAAATGTGGAATTAACTTTCTTTCTACTTTGGTGGTTACAATCGGAAAAAAATTGGGATTTAATTTTCTGGGTGCTTATTTATTCATACCAGCGTTAATCATAAAATTGAAGTGAAGGAATACACACATATTGGCGAAAATGGCATTCGTTTTAGCCCCTGAACGTAAGTAATATCATTAAAAAACAATTCAAATTGCTTTAAATAAAACATTCTGAAGATTTAAATGGTTGCTAAGGGGATCTGAGTAAACAGATTCCCCAAGCAAGGGGGAAATAAATCGAAAAAAAATTACTTTTTTTTTTTAATTTCAAGATGGCAGTTTTGACCATCAAGTAAAATCTTCACTTTCTTTAAAATGATAAGAATTAGAAAGACGTTGAGTGGTCCTATAGCTGTTGCTATTTTGATCTTAATACTGAGAGGATTGACATCCTTAAAAAACAAATTTCCTGGAAAACAGATCTAAGAAAGCTGCCTACATGACTTCATATGAAAAGCGCAGCTGGAAAAAATTGAAATATTAATTTTTAACTCACTGACAGAGCAAAAGATACATGTGCCAAATTTTGATCATTGAAATGACATTTTATACCAATATCTTTTTCAATGTGAATTATGCTAGGATACTAATATCTAAATTATTCATTCAAGGTACCAAAGGGCTTTAAAACAAAATTACTGAACTCTTTCTTTCACGATTCCTGCCTTTACGGTTTAAAATTACAAAGGTTGAAAAGTCGCAAGAATTCAACCAATCGTTTCTTCCTGAAAATCATAAACGTATCCAACTCTTGCCACTGGTTATCAATTAAAAATAGTTCCGCTTAGTCAACCATTTATATCTGTCTCCTTGAAAGTTTTGGTATAATTAAACTATCAAATTAAAGATTTATTATTTGATCGATTGTCGAAGTCAATCCACAGAATAAATAAACTGGAGCATTGAAAATACTCCAACTGTTTGAAAGATGAACGTGTAAGCAAGTAACCTATTTGATTGATAAATAAGTAACACAAATGTTCAATTTTTATTTTGTCATAATAGCAAAAATTTACCCCAACACTGTAGATTGATCTGTTTAAAAACTATAAAGTACCCCCACTTCTTATCTAATCTAATGTGCCAAATTGGGGTATTGGATTTAAATCTATATTTTATTTCCTACACTACTCTGGACAATTTAATCTGGTTAAACTTGGCAAATAAGCAAAAACTATAGGAATTACCTTGACTCAGGAAAAATAGTAAAGCTAGAACGCTGTGCTGTATAAAATATGTGGGGATCAAATTGACTGCACTATTTCAAATCGATACAAAGGAAGAGAAATGAATTCAATGCTTAGTATCTTGCATATAAGTATATAATCTTGACAAAAGTTATTTAAATACGTGAAAGGGGGGGGGGGGGTGTAAAAATATTCTATAGGAATTCCTTTTGTATAATCATATTTTGGACTCCAATTAAAATGGGGGAGGGGTATTTATTTGATTTGTTTATTTGGCGTCTTTATAAAAAAGAGTTATGACATATTTGTTTAATCATTGTGAAATGTGAAAATAACGAAGACTGTATAAAACATGTATCAATTTCCCCCTTTGTTTGTTCTCATTGATGTGCATGAATAATTAAGACCGAGATTCAACAAGAAAGAATACTAGAGTGTATGTGTTTATATATACATAATCCTTACACCTTAAAAGATTTTTTGCATTGTATAATTTTTATTTTCTCAATCTTCTTAGTATAGCTTTAAGTTATTAGCAATCGCATACAAACAGAAGATGCACTTTCGTTTACCTCTGGCTATAACCTTCATTCATAGAATATTTTACTTTCAGATGTTTTAGAATAGTTGTCAGAGAGTCTTTACTCAAAATTAATTGAATATTTTAACATTTTGAAAGAAATTTTATGATAAAAACAATGATCAAGATGAGAGATATATATAACTCGGAGTTTGGGGGTAAAATGAAATTGTTGCGTGAACTGAAAAAAAAAAAAAAAACAAAACACAAACACACACACACATGGCACTGGAGGGAAGAAAAAAATTAGTTGAGAATGTTGATGGATTTAAAAAATCAATTTCAGTGTAATATCACTGGTTCGTAAGACTTTTGTGCAATGAGTTGTTGAAACCATTGAGATCTGCACAGAGTGGATTGCTTTATGATGTACGATTTTAAATGGAGGGTAGATTCAATTTTAATCTCATACAAACTTGGTACTCGTTTAATCAAATAGGTAAACTGACGTAATATCTAAGTTTTCTATATATGTGTTTTCAAATAAAAAGGAGGCGTTCAGAACTTGAATACAGCATTAGGAAAGTGATTTATTGAAACATCTGAATGTTCTCAATGATTCTTTGTTAGATGTGGATTTTAATATATCCTTAACTGATTCTTCAACCAAATACATAAGACCCCTTCTGGTCGTACCCCAAAGAATTTGGCTTAATGGCAGACTTTGTGTTATTGATCATATAATGTTAGGAACAAATCACTTTTCACGCTATAGAATCTCTGATGTTATAGCTTCACCACCCAGCGAAATGTCGTTTTCTGTTCTATTTTGTCGGCTAAAAATGACATTCGGAGACAATATGGGGTCCATTGATTTCTGCATTAATTACCAGTCAACATTTGGAATCAGGCTGGGATCTCCTTGGACACAAACAATCAAATCTCAGAATAGCTGGTGACTCTCCAGATGCCTTGATTTCTGCAATAAAAGGCATTTACTTTACCAATTCATGATTTTTAGAACATTACCATACTAACAATGTTATGGTAAACTGTCATGGATGT